AAAAAAAAAAAAAAAAAAAAAAAGTAGATTTATCCATAGCAATAGGGAAAAATCTAAAATGCATAATGCTGAGTAAAAACTTCAAGATGTACAACAATTTAAGTTTGAGACCATTTGTATAAAATTTTGTTCTTTTTTTGTTTCTTTTTTGTCTTTATTTGAATAAAATATTTAAATATTCAGAACTTTATTTTGCTTATGGCTGCACATGAATATAATAACTTATACAATCACCAATCACAAACTAGAACAACTTGCTGTAGATCCCAGAGGGAGGTAGCCTATGAGGAAGATGTGAAGACAGAAAAAGGCCTTTTGACTTCTGTTCTCTAATGTTTCTTTTTATACAAAAATGTTATATGAAGGGCTGGAGATATAGCTCACTGGTTCTGCTGCCTACCTTGAAAGCTAAGGGCCCAAGTTAAATTCCTGGTACCAAAAACAAACAAACAAACAACAAAAAAAACCCACAAGCAACAAAAATGTTATATGAGTTAGAAGAAGACCCATTATGTAGAATTAGCCAGACACCTTGAAAAGTGAATAGCTGTACTACTGATTAGGATACGAACAGTTACAAAAGACCACTGCATCCACTACAACAAGGATCCTGGAAAGAAAAAAAAAATCATCTTATTTTTCTCTAAAGTTATCTTTTTTTTTTTTTTTTTTTTTTGAGACAGGGTCCTACCCTACAGTTTAGACTGCCCTGAAGCTTACTATATAGCCCAGGCTGACCTTGAACTCGGGGTGATCCCCCTGCCTCAGCCTTCCAAGTACTGGGATTACAGGCGTGCACCACCTTGCTTGGCTTTGCAGCATAAAATTTGCCATGAGTCATTCAGACTTTTTTAAATTATAGTGAAAAAAACTTATTATTTTTGGGTTTTGTTATGGGCATATACGCATGCAGGCTCTTTTTTCACAGCTTTCCTTAGCTCTATTTTGTTAAGAGTTTGACATAAGTAACTCCATAATGCCAGTCAGTACTGGCAACTTTCACAGTGTATATTTCAGAGAGTACAGTTTAGTATACATAATTTAAGTACATTCACGTTGCTGTGCAACTATTACTAGTGTCTTTTGAGAACTCTTCTCATCTTGTAAAACTGAAACTTTTTGCCTATTAAATAGCAACTCTTTTTTTTTTTTTTTTTTCTTTTTTTTGGTACCGGGCATTGAGCTCGGGTCCTTGCGCTTGCAAAGCAGGCGGTGGAACCACTGAGCTAAATCCCCAGCAGCAACTCTTTACTGACCCCTTTCCATAGCCAAAAATGCACTTCATGTAGCTGACCTACTAAACATCACACTTCCACAACAAAATATACTAGAGATATGGCTCAGTGCCACTACCCAGGACAGTGAGGGGATCGTATGACATTTTACTAGCCATGGAAAAGATCAAAATTCAAAGTATGGCTTCACTGAGTGTGCATTGTTTTCACATCATCAGAGAATTGAAAAAGTATAATTTCAATATTTGATAAGTCAGGGATCACCTATATTTGAAACCAGAGATGTACTAAAACTAAAACCACAACCCAGCCCGCCTTTTGATTAACTGGAAGAGATTTGCCTCATACCCTAGCTGCCTGATGAAGGACTATCCAAGCCCTTTCTGGGGTATATATTATATACTTTTGTTTCTTCTATATAAATATCTGGCATACAAAAATAGCTTACGAAACACATAAGCAAGAAAATATGAGTGGTAATCATGAGGGGAAAAAACAATAAATAGAAACAGACCCACAGAAGGCTCAAGTATTGAAATTGGCTGACAAAACCTTTAAGTAACAATGACAAATATGTTTAAATTTTTCCAAAAGACGAACAAAACAGGTCAACAATGATGCATTGCGATGGGGAAATGGAAACATTCCAAAAATAACCAAATGAAGTTTTTAGAAATAAAAAGCACCTACCTGATACAAAGAATGCATGAGATGGGCTTAAGAGCAACACAAGCACACAGCAGAATCGTCAATAAACGTAAAGATAGGACAGCAGAGCCGGGCATGGGGGCGCACGCCGGTAATCCCAGCACTCAGGAGGCTGAGGCAGGAGGATCGCTGTGAGTTCGAGACCAGCCTGGGCTACACAGTGAGTTCCAGGTCAGTCTCAACTACATAGTGAAACTCTGCCTCAAAAAAAAGATAGGACAGCAGAAAAGATCCAAACTGAAAAGAATTTAATGTTGTCACCCTTGGGAGTGACCTCCTTATTGTCCCCCCTCCCCAACATGCCTTTCCAGCCTCACCTTATACCACAGGGCCCGGAGGCAGTTTCTCCTCAGGGCAGTGTGCTGCCATGCCAGGTACTCATCCACACGGGCACGTGCCTGCAGGTCCTGAGGGTACCAGTAGTCGGGGACCTTATACTTGCTCGTCAGGTAGAGTAAGATGGCCACACTGGGGAAGGGTGGAGCATAGTAAGTGGGAGAGGGCACTGTACTCAAAACTTTATACCCAGTACATTCCTTGATCTTTCTGACCATCTGCCAAGGTATGAGCCTCGTTTTCCAGACAAGAAAAGCAGATTGACAAGAGTGAAGGTAGCTGGCATGGTGTCACACACCTGTAACCCCAGCACTCAGGAGGCTGAGACAGGAGGATCTCTGGGAGTTTGAGGCCAGCCTGAGCTACATAGTGAAATCAAGGCCAGCCTGAACTACATAAAGAGATACTGTCTCAAAACAGAAAGAAAAAAAAAAATCCTCAACAAAGTATTCCATCTAATCAAAGACAATTTTCGATAAGAGGACCAAAGAGAGGAGCTTCCTGGAGGAGGTAGCATCCAAGCCAAGCCTTGCAGAGGCTCAATTCTTTCCAGCCTGCATCCACTCTCATCCTTTAATGTCAAGACCAGCCTCAGATGGCCTAATTGTTCAGAAAGGCTTTCCCATCATCTCTTTGTTCTTTATATGCCACTTTCTGCTAAGAATCAGCTCTGTTCTTTGTTCTTGTTTTTTTGGGCGGGGGGGGTATTTTATTTTGGTTTTTTTGTTTTGTTTTGTTTTGTTTTGTTGTTTTTTGGTACCAGGGATTGAACTCAGGTACTTGCATTTGCAAGGCAGGCAGCGAAACCACTAAGCTAAATCCCCGACCCTTTTTTCTGTTTTGTTTGGGGTACAGGGATCGAACTCAGGACCTTCATGCTTGCAAAGCAGGCAGCAGCATCACTGAGCTAAATCCCCAGCCCTAATCAGCTTTGTTAAAAGGAATTGGATGGCTCAACCCTTGGGAAACTTTATGCAGAAAACATGAAGGATCTTGGAACATCAGAGCAGACAAGGCTCCCCGGTGTTGTCTCCCTGCCCTGGGTTATGAGGCTGTCATGGTGCAGGGTTGGTGATGGACCTTCAAGGTTGTTATCAGTCAGGGGCATAGGAACGTTTTCAGGAACTTGGGGTTTCCCAAGGGTTGGCTGCCCCAGACGAAAGGACAGAAAACTTGTTTCTACCTCCAGTCCAGGTCCCTTTATTAGGAAGCCTGCACCCACATCCCAGCTCAATGTCCCAGTGGTTTATCTTGTTCCTTGTTCAAGCCACCTCTTGGGAGGACTGTAGGTCCCCATGAGCCACAGCCCTTGTGAGGGTGACAGAAGAGACATGTAGAGGTGGGACACTCCTCCTGGGCTCTCAACAAGGGGCAGACAGGGCCGGGATTTAGCTCAGTGGTTCCACGGCTGCCTCGCAAGTGCAAGGACCTGAGTTTGATCCCCGGTATACACACACACACACACACACACAAACATGGGCCAGACACAGGACTCAGGACACCAGGAGATACCAGGAAGTTAGAAAGGCATGTCAGAGTGTCACAGGAATTCACTGGGATTCATTACGGGACTTCAGAGATGAACTCTAGAGCATAAACTCTAGGTTCTCCTTGCTATGCGATGGATGAGTCAGCTGACAAAAGAAGAACTGGAAAAAGGCTTGGCCGTCCAAGAAGAGGGAGGTTCTCACTTCTTGGGACCCGCCGTGATAGAAAACCCCTGCGTGTCTGATGGCTGTCCCACAGGGGAGCTCCACCTAGGGAAGATCCACCTAGGAAGTTGCAGTGACCCCCGGGATGGGATCTCTAGACAGCTCAGATGACTGGGCCTTCTCGACAGACCCTGGGCCAGAGGGCTGTCTCCATGCTGGGCGAAGCTGCCCTGCCCTGCTCCCTGACCCCACACCCTAGCCCAGGGGCATTCATCAATAACCAGAGGACAAGAACAGGGCTGAGGTAGGTGCCTGGTTTTCCAGCCATCCCAGGGAACTGGAACTAGTGGACAGGTTGAGGTCAGCCCCAGCTCTCTGCGGGCTGTGGACAAAGGCACCTTTCGTCTCTGAGGACTTTAGTTTCCTGGTCTGTCACACAGAGGGCTGGCTCAGGGTGTTCCAGCAAGGCGTGACCGCAGCCCCAGGGGCCCTGTTACCTCTCAGTCAAGGTGAAGTCCCCATCCTTCAAGGCTGGCACCTTCTTCAGGGGGTTCACCTGGGCGAAAGCATCACACAGGTGCTGGCCTACGGGAAAGATCAGTCAAATGAGCAGGCGGGAGAACCACCCCGGCATAAGAGAGGTGGGACCAGATCACCAAGCCTTCCGGGTGGCCTGGGCCCACTCCCTGCAATGCCCAGGCCCCAGTTTCTTGGCTCTTCTCCCCTCTGGGATTCTGAATGGAAAAGGCTGGTGGGGGGCTGCTGGGGGAAGTGGGGATGGCTGCTCTGGCAGCTGGTACGAAGTCGACTGGTTACCCTTTGACGGTCTTTACCGACACAACCTCCCCCAAAGACCGCCTCCCTGCCACAGAACCCAGTGCACAGGGCACAGTGCCTGGGCCTGCACACACCCACGACCTCCTCCGTTTTCTACCACTGCCCGCTCCATGAACTCACACCAGGAGTGTCCTAACCTGCGAGGTCATCTGGGGGACCTCTAACTTCCTACTGCACCCCTCCCTATATGGCCTTCAAGGCAGGATGAGCAACACAAAGAAGTAGCCCTTTC